TAATAGAATTATAAACAATTTCAAAGTGTTTTGTCCTATTCTGACAGATTTGTTAGGGGGTTGAACGGTGGAGCAGGCCTGTAGGCGCTCCCCTCAACTAAACGAAGGGCCAGTGTGATTAGAGCAGTCCTGTAGGCGCTCCCGCTGACCTGGAGTTTTCAGAATAGCGGATCCTGAATAGAGCAGTCCTGTAGGCGCTCCGGATCTTTTGAAATGGAAAAGGACACGAACACCGTAAGAGTTGTTTATGGAATAATAGAATAATTTAATAAGAGTAATTTATCTAAATTATATTCAATACGCAGTCAGGACGAGTTAATAAAAGAAGGCCCAATAAAAGAAAACGCAGAGCCGGAAAAAGGGAAAGAGAAAAGAAATTCCGTAATAAAATATTATACGAAATACGAGAACAACTCCGGCTGGCTGAGGAAAACCGAATTTCGAGTCACCCTGAAGGGCCTTGTTACTCTCCGCCGTCGCAAGCATCCACAATAGTGATATCGGATGACGAGGAAACCCCTGAGATACCGACTATAGATACAGATACGGCAGTTAAAATTAATAATCATTACGAATTCCCAACTGAATTACTAGTCAGATATATTCAGGATTATAAAAAGTACATGCAAAACGTAGAATAAATTATACTATTTTTGGGGTGCAATTAAATAGAGGATAATAAATAAAATTGATATTTGTTATAAAATTTATTCAGAATTCCTATTTATAAAGCCCTTTCCAAAAAATCCAATTCCAAGCACCTGTCGGGACGTGTAAGCGTCTACCGGGTGTCTCCGAGAATTGGCGAACCCACATTCCTGCCGGACGACCCAATCCTAATAACAGAAGAAAAATACAAATTTAAAAATAAAATAATTCGTTTTTATAAATAAATAATAATTACATACCTGAGTGACCCTCGAGCCGCTCCGAGGCGCTTAGGTCCGTCGTCCGGTCCATTTCCTAATCTCCATCCCATCCTCAACTGTGACGTTTCCTCCTCCAGGACGTCACAGGTATTTCGTGCTGAATCTTCTCGTTTGGACTGTCTGAAGACTGTGTGCTACGTACAATTTTGATCCAGGCCATAGTTTGGGAATTATTTCACTTTATATGGAAAAATAGCCGAAAACGGCTCGATTTTCGGCTAAATGTCGAAAAATTCCTTCTTTCTACGCCGATTCCCATGGGTATTTCGTGCTGAATCTTCTCGTTTGGACTGTCTGAAGACTCTGTGCTACGTACAATTTTGATCCAGGCCATAGTTTGGGAATTATTTCACTTTATATGGAAAAATAGCCGAAAACGGCTCGATTTTCGGCTAAATGTCGAAAAATTCCTTCTTTCTACGCCGATTCCCATGGGTATTTCGTGCTGAATCTTCTCGTTTGGACTGTCTGAAGACTCTGTGCTACGTACAATTTTGATCCAGGCCATAGTTTGGGAATTATTTCACTTTATATGGAAAAATAGCCGAAAACGGCTCGATTTTCGGCTAAATGTCGAAAAATTCCTTCTTTCTACGCCGATTCCCATGGGTATTTCGTGCTGAATCTTCTCGTTTGGACTGTCTGAAGACTCTGTGCTACGTACAATTTTGATCCAGGCCATAGTTTGGGAATTATTTCACTTTATATGGAAAAATAGCCGAAAACGGCTCGATTTTCGGCTAAATGTCGAAAAATTCCTTCTTTCTACGCCGATTCCCATGGGTATTTCGTGCTGAATCTTCTCGTTTGGACTGTCTGAAGACTCTGTGCTACGTACAATTTTGATCCAGGCCATAGTTTGGGAATTATTTCACTTTATATGGAAAAATAGCCGAAAACGGCTCGATTTTCGGCTAAATGTCGAAAAATTCCTTCTTTCTACGCCGATTCCCATGGGTATTTCGTGCTGAATCTTCTCGTTTGGACTGTCTGAAGACTCTGTGCTACGTACAATTTTGATCCAGGCCATAGTTTGGGAATTATTTCACTTTATATGGAAAAATAGCCGAAAACGGCTCGATTTTCGGCTAAATGTCGAAAAATTCCTTCTTTCTACGCCGATTCCCATGGGTATTTCGTGCTGAATCTTCTCGTTTGGACTGTCTGAAGACTCTGTGCTACGTACAATTTTGATCCAGGCCATAGTTTGGGAATTATTTCACTTTATATGGAAAAATAGCCGAAAACGGCTCGATTCTCGGCTAAATGTCGAAAAATTCCTTCTTTATACGCCGATTCCCATGGGTATTTCGTGCTAAATCTTCTCGTTTGGACTGTCTGAAGACTGTGTGCTACGTACAATTTTGATCCAGGCCACAGTTTGGGAATTATTTCACTTTATATGGATAAATAGCCGAAAACGGCTCGATTTTCGGCAAAATGTCGAAAAATTCCTTCTTTCTACGCCGATTCCCATGGGTATTTCGTGCTGAATCTTCTCGTTTGGACTGTCTGAAGACTCTGTGCTACGTACAATTTTGATCCAGGCCATAGTTTGGGAATTATTTCACTTTATATGGAAAAATAGCCGAAAACGGCTCGATTTTCGGCTAAATGTCGAAAAATTCCTTCTTTCTACGCCGATTCCCATGGGTATTTCGTGCTGAATCTTCTCGTTTGGACTGTCTGAAGACTCTGTGCTACGTACAATTTTGATCCAGGCCATAGTTTGGGAATTATTTCACTTTATATGGAAAAATAGCCGAAAACGGCTCGATTTTCGGCTAAATGTCGAAAAATTCCTTCTTTCTACGC